CTATTCAGACATACTAAATTAATTATTATGTTTACGGCTTGCTCACATTAATATCGGTAGCAGCGCGACAGTCGCCGTGTTGTGTGTCTCGGAATGCTGTTCATGAATTTGAGCCTCTAGGATGGCTTGAAACTGTAGTACTGAGTAAGCCGAAAACAATAATATATTTGGTATCCGATGAAGTGTAAAAAAATAGAACAACGAGATTAATCTCATAGTCAGCTTTTTCAGGCTTTAATTATCTTTGTTCTAGTCAATTTGAATATACCTACAAAATTCAAAACTGGTGAAATGGGTCATTCCCAAAAGTCTGATATATGATTTTATAAGAATGTGGCATCAATATTACAATCTCATTGGTCATTGAAGGCAATGTGGGCTGCTCCTCGAAAAATTTAAATTCTGATCTACAACTGCTCAATCCCGCTGGTGACCGCTCTCCACTAACTACCTCTACATTATAGATCTTATTTCCGATGTTTAGAGACTACTTTTGATAAACAAATTTAGGGTACGATAAGTAGTTCTAAGAGTAAACTTTAGACTTTAATTTCAGTAAACCCAGGGGTACACTAGGGGACATATTATGTTTTGATTTTTTTTTCTTTTATAATTACTTGATATGTTTAACGCCTTGGTTTTATGACTATAATGTAATTTAATTGAAATAAATAAATATGTCCTACGACACGTGTTGCCAGCGACGTTGGGTGAAGTAACGCGACGTTGCCGGATTTAGGTTGATATGTCTGGTAACATCAACGTTGCTCTGGACATAAGTCGCGCGTTATTGCCATATACATACGTTAGGCGAAATCTGTCTTACTGAACATGTCGACGATAGATGCCTTGGGATATTTGTCCCCTTGTGTATCCTTGGCATTAAATAAAACGAAAAAAAGAAAAGAAAAACCGTCTATTACGCCACGACACACAACAAGAATTTAGGTACAGACAAAAAAGCCCATGGTGCGTCGCAGCGCAAAAAGCTAGAGCTTAGCTTAATACTAATATAAAAGTGACATCTTCAGAGACCAAAAGTAAAGTTGTTTTCAGTCTAGGTAGACCCTAGACATACTGAGTTTCTGACACAAAATTGTTTCGGAGGGATTAATATTCATGACAAGGCTAAGCCGTTAATTTAACACCCTTTTCCCAATAATGGAGTACACCTCAGGGAGTTATCAACTTGTTGGTTGTTTACTGGATTCTACTTAACATCCCAAGGGCCCTGTCGTTGTTTGCCTTCCAAAAATATTGACATTGCGGTCCAAATTGTATCTAGTGCTGTTATGTATTAGATCTATAAGGACATCTGTTTGATGTATCGTGTGTACAGTGAATAACAACGCCAATAACGGTATGACTATTTTTATTTTCTTGATCGTCTGTTAAATAATTAAAAAAACAAATTACGGAAACAAATATTTTCGACGATATATTGATTTGAAATATCACGTGATGTCACTTTTAGGTACGTTTTATATACAAGGTGTAGTTTTAAAACCGTGACATTTCTCGGGGGCATATCACAGAAGCCATAAAGGTTCAATGTAAGAAAAGTTTCGGGCCAATAGTTAAAAATACGGCTATAAGAAATCGTTTAAGTTCGACAGTATTTCAGAATAAGCGACAGCAATGTTTCTTATTGGAGTTTCATGGAATTAGGAATAATATCAATTACGTGTTTGAGTTTGTGTGTGTTGAGCCGCGTTATAGAGCTAATTACAAGACGGCGGCGTGTAGTTCGCACTTACGAATTTCCGAATTTACAGAAAAATGAAAAATATTGACCAACAATTTTATTTATTGATTCGGACTCAGAATCGATATCCGAGTTACCTCCTAGAAAATGACGCGGCTTTAAAACAACATCTTGTATAGAAATGACGTAGTAATGGATTATGAATAAGCTGAAATTAGGTTAAAATGCGCAACACTTACATCATGAATGGACAATATATTCATGTAAACAGTTCACAATTATATTGTTTGTGTAGATAGACCGCACACACGACACACCTTGATAAAGGTTGTATAAATAAATACATTACAATAAATGAACTTGTTAATACTTGATTCAAGTAGACGCTTGCACGTCTTTTTTTTTTTTTTTTTTTTTAACGGGGGAAAATCATCAAATGACTGCTCCCGTCTGGGTGAGGTGGGAGGGAGTGTCAGACTCTTACTGACTAAAAACCACCCCGTTCCTTTTCCTGCACGTCGAGCCGGAGCCCCGGTTACCCGTTAGGTTCTCGGCCCTATTGGGCCCCATCTGTGGTGGTCTGATGGCTCTTTGAGGCGCGCGCGGAGAACCTAACGGGGAACCGGGGCTCCGTGCGCCGTACGCTCGGGTCTGTTTCTGGTCGGACGGGGAGCCACCCATGCTCGCCGTCCGCAGGCCCGCGCTTACGGTGGCCGGAGATCGTCCCGCGATCCCCGACGCCCGGTGTGTCCTTCGCGATGGCTGGGTTGCGAGGAGGCAGCGCTTCGCTGCCTCACGCGTCCCGCCTCCTCCTTAGCTAGCATGACTGCTTCGCAAAAGGAGGAGACGGCATCCCAATCCCCCTCGCTCCGCATCATGGCCTGCACTAGGCCCGGACGCGAGGGGTCGCCATCGCCGATCACTTCCCTGAGGACACGGCGGTGCTCAGCCCACGCAGGGCATTCTCCCACCGTGTGTTCCACCGTGTCCTCAGGGCGGTCCTCGCAGTGATGACACCCGGGCGTTTCCTCCCGCCCCATCAGACACAGGTACCTCCCGAAACTTCCATGTCCGGTGAGGACCTGCGTCAGGCGGTAGGTGAGGACGCCGTAGCGTCTCTCAAGCTACTCCTCAAAGAGGGGACTTACCGCTGCGATGGCAGCGAGCCCAACGCTTGCACGTCTAGATATCCGAGTTGTCTTTCTGTAATGGATTTTGAACTTAATTGTTTTTGTACTGACTGTCTCGTTGGCCGAGTGGTCGCAAGTGCGACTGCCGGGCAAGGGGTCTCGAGTTCGATTCCCGGGTCGAGAAAAACAAAAATGGGTTTTAAAAAAATCTCAGTAGTAGCACGGAGTCTGGAATTGTGCCCGGTATATGGCAATAGGCTATTACATGGGTCTCATAACATAAATAGTGAAAAGTGGGTGTTACATTGTACAGTGGCATAATGTGCACCTCTGCCTACCCCTTCGGAGATAAAAGGCGTGATGTTATGTTATGCTATGTTATGTTGTTTTGTCATAAAGTCGATAAACTGTTGATGTTTATAGATGTTTATTAGCTTGCAGATAGAAAAAGACAACGTTATTGGTTGAGTTGTGACTGCTTAACATGAGGTCTTAATATGAATTAATGTTGAAATTGTAGGAAATAGTAATATATATATCCTTTATGTACATAATTATATATCTTGGAGCCGTTCGTAGCGTATCTACCTCTATTAGTATAATGAGAATACAAATACAGTGTGAAAATACTAAGTAATTTGTGAGTTGACTACTAAATATTTTTTTTCTTCTAAGTTAGAATGCTATCTATCCCGTTTAAGAGCAATGTTATATAGTTGGTTATTTAATTTATACGCTAATAGAATATATCATTAAAATTTATCAAATTAAATTTATTTTTTTATAAGGAAAATGGGACAGACGAAATAATTTTGTACCTATCTTAAAAATATCACATTTTTTAAACTTTCTTCTTGATTTCGTAAATATGATATACTAAGGGCTAATTTTTCAATGCTCAGATGAATTTTAACTCCAACACACAATTCTTCCACACTAGAAACTGTCAAGTGTCAATTTTATTTCACAGTTAAGAAGTAACTGATGATTGAAAATGCTAGTTATTGCTTGCTTGATTAAGCAACTGAGAGATTTGTACCACGTATCTACAAATCTGTCTCAATCTAAAACAAATACTCACATTTTGTCACCAGCTATTACGGTGGGGACACCTCATCAACAAACACCATTCCAGACCACCACAAAACACCATTACACCCACTTTCACAGCCACATTGCACACGACATCGTATTTACGTTCGCGATTCTGAGAACAATCGACACAGAGGGCACGTCTTTACACCTCGGCGATTGCCGGAGTACTGAGGCTTTTGATGCTGGCAAGTGGAAATCAGGGCGAATTTCCCACCCCATGCGTATACTAGACTTCACATAGAGCTACGAATAACCAGCTTATCATGGTCTCAGTTTATATGATCTTCTCGTACATTTAGTGGTCAGTTTATACTAGTTTTTCATAGCTCGATGTGTAGCGTGCACACTCGGTCGCAGCTTAACGCGCTGACAGCTGAAGCGGTTTATGTCCTTTTTATCTCTTGCCCTTAACAATCGTTCTATCTGTTACCTATTTTGTGCTAAGAAAAAGGTAAACTTGACCGTGAAGTTGACGGGTTTATATTTGCTTTTGTTTTGTGATGTGTTATTGGTATAGAATTAAATTTAATAGATAATTTCCTTTTGCAAACAATAATAAGCTAAATATGGGTTTAAACCAACTCCTGATAACTGGCTCCATCCAAAGGTTGTCTGTAAAAAATCGAATTCTACGATAAGACCGCCGATTAAAATTTGTATAATTATTTTTTATTGTTTATGATAACAATCCGGAACGAATTGTAGACCCGACGATTTTATATTATTTAAATAGCGTGCTTGTAGTAAAAACGTAGTAACAATTTAGTTGACTCACAGAATCCCAAGACCTTTAAGTTGTCACATTTTATCATTCGACCGACAAAGGTCTATCTAATTGTTAACCTTTTACATATTGTCTTTTTTTTATAAAACGTTGCCCCACACTAGGATTATCTCCTGTGTCGTGGGTGCGTTTACAAACATACAAGTTCACATACACATGACACCCAGACCCGAAACAACAATTTGTGGATCACACAAAGTGTTGTTCCGTGCGGGTTCCGTAATCGAACCCGCGAGACGTTGCATGGCAGCCGGTTGCCCAGCCACCGCATCAACCGTGCAGTCAAATCTATAGACTATCAAATCTATAGAGTCTATAGACTATGAAATATAATTATTATATAACTCTAACGTTATTATTAAGATCAACGACTGAAAGTCGAATTATTTGTAAAAACATTATCGAAATAAACATTTATTGAAAAGAAAACAGTAATATATTAAAGTGCACTTTCGTAGTCTGAAGGTGAAATAAGTCACCATGACTTTCAATTGAAATTAAATTTGATGTACCTATTTAAATATTACGCCGACAAGTGGGCAAAGGTCGAGATGTGATTAAAAATCGCGATATACAACAACGACCTTTTCTGTGAAAGGTTTTTTGTAAAGTCAGATCAAATAAAATAAACAAAAAATTACGTTATTTGTAAGATACAAATCTGTGAATGGTAAATTCCAAAGTCTTTAGGTAGGCTAGTAGGCTTGGAACCTAAAATCTAAGCAACGGCCTTAACCATAAATAAAATCGCAACATAATGTTATCGAGTTCAAAAACGAATTAAAAAACGTTAAGATTCATATGTCGTGGTGGCCCAGAGGTTTAAAACGCCCACTTCTCATGCATGAGGGTGCAAGCTCGAAACCTACCGACGGCAATTACCAATGTACCTTTTTCGAGTTGTATGTACTTTCTAAGACTATTCAGATAGCACTGACAAACGGTGAAGGCAAAACATCGTGAGGAAACTTAGGCTTTATAATTTCTAATTATAAGTTTGAAATCATCAACCCGCATTGAGCAAGCGAGGTGATTAATGCTCAAACCTTCTCTGTGTGAGAAGAGGCTTTGGTCAGCAGTGGGCATTATAGGCTGTTGATGATGATTATATACCTTTATTTAAGCGACCATTTCTTGATTATGGATCAATAATCTCGGAAACGGTTCCAATTATTTTGTTTTAATTTTGTTTTTGTGGGATTTTCAGATAAACGAGTTACTAAAAAAAAAAAAAACACCGAGCGCATGATCATCCAGGTACTGTTTGTTTGATCGAGTAGTTTCAGATGAAACGAAAATTTATTGGGTTTTCGGAATTTTAAGTAGTTTATGACACAGGGCCAGAATTGTATTTCTTTTAACTCACCACTAATACATTTTACTGTCTACGTAATAGGTAAGCTGTAATTAAATGCTAGATCTTCCTATACCTAACTCTTTGAGGAACAAACTATGTATACGAGCGGCGTACCGCCGTCCGTAAGTCACTGCAGGGTGCCATCTTAAAATCACCGTTGGGCCATAACTATTAAGTAATTTGTGGTTGGGCATGTACGCTCAACTTAATGCTGAGATGCAGACCTTTTTCG